TGCTTGGCTCTGGCTGGCGCATCGCTGCGGCCGCGCCAGCGCGCGCAGGCTCGCGCGCAGAGCGGCCAGCCAGTTCGGCGTGACCGACACGCGGCCGCGGTGGCGCTGACCGCAAGGGCCTCTCCATGCGTCTCGCAAGCCGCGCTGACGCGCGAGCACTTCAGTACGAGTCGGTGACTCGGGCGTGCGCGGCATCATGGCGACGTCGACAATTGCAGACACGATGATGCTTGTGGCGCACGCTGCTCCTTAGGAGGATGCCCGGGCTGCCAAGCCTCCAGGGGAACAGAGAACACCCACCACCGAAAATCTCCATGGACATTTTCGGTCTACGCCTAACTCCGGGGCGCCAGGGGAATGGGGGTCGCGCGCAGATCTACGAAATTTGACGTGGTTTCTTCCCCAGGCAGTGCTTGCACCTACGCGTTCTTATCTGCTTTCTGCATAATTGCTCTGCGCTTCCAGGTTCGATGTTCGTCAACGTCGCCGCCCGCGGCCGCCCGAGGGCGCCTCGTGGGCGCCTCCTACGCTGGCCAGTGCTCCCAGGCCGCCGAGATCGCTGCCCGTGGGCTCCTCGTGAGCGCCCCCAAGCGCTGGCTTGCCTGGCGGTTCCGGGTTCTCGCCCGGTCGCCGCCCGTGGGCGCTTCATGGGCTGGCTGGACATCGCTTGCACCTCACACATCCCCTGCCTCTGCAAAAGATCAAGCTATACTGCGTGTTGAGACTGGACTCCTCACGCTTCCCCTCCAAGTGATCTGTTTTCGAACTTGTTCTGCGCATTTCCTCATCCCGATACGAAGCCATCCCATGTCGGCCACGCCTGGTGTAAATTACACCGGTCATGCCGAGACCCTTGTCAAATACATCACCCCCGTCGGCCTAGTCATCATCGCCACCATCATCACCTTCATGATTGTTACCATTATCATTTTTATCATCGCTGGCGGCGTCGCTGCTGTCGCCGTCGTCGTCATCACTCACCCACCCGCGTCATGGATCTGATGGAAAGGGTCCGCGCGTCATTACGCCAATTGGGATACGGTACCAAGTTCGGGTCGGCAACTGCACCCACGAGCACTTGAGTTTCGCCCTGAAGTTGCGGGTGGGTGGGTGAACCGTTTGCGCGAACATGGGATGTGGTCATGAGACAGATATACTCCCCCGGGGGTGATCGGGCCTCCATAGGACACCGCACAAACTACCCACGATTGTGCCTCATCGCGCACCTTCCGTAATGAATCAGAATTTCCTAACGACTGGTTATCGACCCTGCTCCCTTCGCACCTGCCAGATCATTAATTCAACGACTGCGCAATAGTTAATAGAAAAGCCATGTTATAAGAAACCCCTTGCAACAAGAATCACCAGGCTCACACGTGCACGCACGTGTCAAAGCCCTACCAGCTCACTAGTTGCGCAAGCACGTCGACATGGAAATAAAATCACTTGGTTGTTCAACACAAACATTCCAGAATGTCTGTCCGCGCGTTTTTGCTGCCATCGTGGGAAAGCGCCATATGTAGTCAGAAGTTCCGTCCACAACCTTAGAGGGCCCCGGAAACTGCACGGCCGTTTTTTTACCGTTTCCGAACAAATGTTTTGAAAATGGAAACGGCCCCAAAACAGCGACCGGCAACGGGAGAAAAAACTGCCTCAAGATTGGAGCCAAAGCCGAAACCGGAAACAAACGGCGACAAAACCGGTAAAACAACGACGTCGGAACCGGCAACAAAACGGCAAAAAGGAACCGGTGAAAAACGGCAATGGTCGTTTCCAGGGCCCACTAAGTTCACAACCCACAATATTACCTCACCATGCGGCGCATCTGCGTTGATCTAACATGCGCCATATCCAACCAAATATACTTATCAAATAACACCATGCGGGCCACATGCGCGCGCAGCTACGCGTGCGTGTCGAAAGTTGGCCAATACCATTGGGTTCAAAGCGTTTGTAGTTGGAGCTCTTCGAAACCGTATGAGAAACCAATTGTTTGCCAACGTCGGACAAAATTCGTGGGTTTCTGCACGCGCGTGATTCCTCACCATCATGCTCATCAGCGTCAAGGCATCACCACCATGGATCAAGCAACGCCAGTGAAGCCATCATCAGCACAATCACCTCCATCACTGGCACCAGCATCGGAGCCATAATTGGCCTTTTCCGTCGTCACCGTCATCATCGCTTCCATCATCGATAATCTCATCATCGCTGCCGTCATTGTCGATGTCATCGTGATACAGCGCCCGCCTGGGTCACCGACCCGCACTGAAGTGCCCGCGCGCTGGCGTTGCCTTTGAAAAGCGCAGGGAAGTCCCCATCGGCAAGCACCATCGCGACCGCATCAGTTGTGTCAAACCAGCTAGTCGCCCTGCGCGCGAGAGTCCGCGCGTCAGCGCGGCCGCAGAGATGCGCCAGCAAGTTCCAGCCGGCAGCTGCGATCGTGGCCGAATGGGATTGCCGATCAAGTTAGAGGCGGGAGGGTGGGATGCTTGCGCGCGCAGTGGAGTTAACAAGTCATGAGTTGACACGACCGAGTTGTATCACATAGCTTGCTCCTCTTAACTTGCACCACACCGCTTGCACCACACAGCTTATACGGCGTAACATACAGCTTGCATCATACACATCGCAGCATCTAGCTGTTACCACATAGCTTAGACAACATTGCCTCCACCCCCAAGCTGGCACCACATAGATTGCACCACCTTGCTTCCACAGCATAGTGTGCACAACATTGCGCCCTCCACAGGTATTACTCATTCACAGTGTGCAAGTAATCGTGCGAAGTCCAGGGTGGCAAACATATCATGCTTATGCGTGCTTCCCTCATGAAGCCTGCCTGGGGGTGCTTAGTACGTCCCGCGGTACACTTGTTCTGAGGGGGTATCCCTCCCGTCTCACGTACCAATACCGCTACTCCCAGTATCTCTCAGGGGGGGCGTTCTGACCAGAATTTCGACGCGAATCCAGCGAAGGCGAACGAGGGCCTCCCAGGAGGCCCCAAAAAGGGAAAACGAGGGAAGGGTAACGGTATGGTTACCTATTCCTCCTCTGACTGAGGGGGTGTCCCTCTCGTCCATCCTCCTGTGGACCTCCCGGGCGTGCCAGCTCGCTTGCGGGAAGCTCGCTTCAAGCGTGCCCGCTTGCGACCAGCAGCCATCGCGTGGCCAGCGCTGTTGCCTGAGAGGCTTGCCACGAGGCTCCCTTCGCGCGTGCCCGCTCGCTCCCAGCTGGCGGGGAAGAGAACTCAGAGGAAGAAAGGTACCCATCCCGCTACCCTCCCCTCGTGTTACCAATCTTTTGGGGCGTCCAGGGAGGCCCTGGTCGCCACGGCTGGATTCGCCTCGAAATTCGGGTCACACCGCATCCTGGGAGAGGTCTGGGGTGTCGTGGTATTGGTACCTTTTCGTTTCCCCCCAAACGGGGACCATGACCAAGACTGAACGAGGAAAATTCGTGTCGATCTTGGTTAGCGACTATCGTGGTCAGCGTCAATCCGTGTAACATATCGCGAATCTGCGACGGCCGACATGGCCCATGACCAAGATCGGCATCGACAAGAACCCGCGACATCCTGGTCATTGCCCCTTCCTCGAGCAGCAGCCATGTTGTCGAGAGTATAGCTGCAGGAAGGTTGCCAGGAAGCTCACTCCGAGCGCACCCAGCTGGGAAGATGATCCTCCCAGTGGCCATCCCGCGGGCGAACACGTCCTCCCCCTCTGTCGTCGTCGTCGTTATCCTCATCCTCCTCCTCCTTCTCCTCGTCGCTGTCCCCCTCGTCCTCGTCCTCGTCGGACTGCTCCTCGTTCTCCTCGTCGTGCTTAACCCTGGTCCCAGAGCTGAATACCACGACTGGCCGTCGACAATAGTCAGCAATTCTTCTGTGGCCGTTGGCTCATCGAGATGGGTACCTACCCAGCCTCGATCGTATCCATACCCCTGAGATTGACAAGCCCAAGTGCGATAATAATATTAGGGGTGCGCCCTCACTGAAGGAATCCTTAAGATCGGCATCGAGATCAGGTGATGCTAATAATAGGGATAAGGATGTGTTCCAGGCTGGTGAGTGAAGGAGAGATGAGGCGGGTAGACATGGCGGGACAAAGACTGCTACGAAGACCGGTCCGCCCCACACGCGAAAGGCACGGCTCTTCGCACACTCTGTGACGGCTCCGCCTGCCCCGTCAGGCGTAGGGGTCCATGCCCCCAGAGGGTGAGCGAGCCAGCAGGCTCTTTCCCAAAATGCAAGCAGCATCCCACATCATCTGTACGAGGCTGTACAAGATGCCCCCGCACCTCCCCGCTCGCGTCGCTCTGGCTTCTGGCTCCCTGTGCGGGCTCGATGACAGCAGCCAGCAAGCTCACTGCACAACCGCCGAAAACAGCGAACGAATCGTGAGCATTGTTCGACCGATCCCTATGCCCACCGGCGTGGGCTGGGCTCCACTGGCCGATGTAACCCCCCTAGAGGAGGATACAGGATGTTCTATTCGGGTCTCGAGGGGTACATCCCCAACTGGGGTGCTGAGATCGTGAGGCTGAGATACCAACCCCTGGGGAAGCCAGAACACAACGATACCGCCACTCACCGGACCACTCCCGGGGTGCGTTCTGACTAGGTTTCCAGGCGAATCCAGCGGCGGCGACGTGGGCCTCCCAGGAGGCCCAAGCAGTCGCAAACGACGGAAGGGTGGCGGCATAGGTACCTTTACCAGACTCCCGACGTTATGTTTTTGTTCATAACGTCGACCCCCAGAAGTATCGACCCATTCCCAGGACTGGTCTCTCATCCAGATTCGTTTCTGTTGACGGTCCCGAGGCCCAATAAGGGCCCCCAAAGGCCGAACATGGCGAGAAACCCTCGGTCGTGATTATTTCAAGACTCGAGGGGGTCCGGGCTTCCTCCTCTGAAGAGCGGCGTGGAGGACCCGCCGGGCGGAGCGCTCGCCCACGGGAGCCTGGCCAGCCCAGGAGCGCGCACTCCACGAACTGGTAGTTCAGGGCCTGGGCGCACCGGGCCCACGACGCTCACAACGTTCGGCGGCGCGCCCAGGGATGGGGCGGGCCTTCTCGGGAAGTTTCGGAAAGCCCAGGGACGGACGGGGTGCGCCCAGGGGGAAAGGCAGAGGGGGCGGGTCGATTGGGGGTCGATACAGAACGCGCTGAATCCGTGAACTTCCAAAATCTGTTTGGGGAAACCGAAAGGTACTGATACCACTGCTCCCCAGACCTCTCCCATATACATTCTGACCAGAATTTCGAGGCAAATCCAGCGGTGGCGACGAGGGCCTCCCAGGAGGCCCAACAAAGATGAAAATGAGTGAAGGGTACCAGTATGGGTACCTTTTCCTTCTCTGACTGTTCCCTCTCCCTCCATGCCACGACACGAGCGTAGGACGAGAATGACGTCATGATAGGATTGGCCCAGCATGCGTTCCAGGATCTCCCAAATGGTTTTTTTTTTTTTTTTTTACAGAAGGAAGCCGACGAGCGGCAGAACCTCCGCACGGGCTCCATCGACAGCGCCGCCGCCCCCCCGCGCGCGGCCCGTACGCCGGCCGCTCAGCCGTCGTCCTCCTCGAAGCTGAGCCGCTGCCTCTTCGCCGCGGCGGGTCTCGCGGCTCCGGCTCCCCCGCCGCCGGCCCTCGGCGGCGGCCCCGTGCTGCTCCTCGGCGGCGCTGCCCTCCTGCCGCCGCCGTCGGAGTCGGAGTCCTCGTGGTCTGCGGCGCCCCCCGGCGGCGCGGCCGCCTCGGGGCGCGGCGGACCTCGCCGGCCAACGGCGACGCCGCCGGCGCCCCCGCGCGGCCTCGTCGCCGCCTCGCCGCCGCCCTCCGCGGCCGCGGGGCCTCTGCCCTGCAGCCGCTCCACCAGGGCCCGCTGGGTGTCCCGCTTCTTCCTCGCCTGGAACTTCATGGGGCCCCTGTCCTGCTCCTCCGGCCGCGGCGCCTCGGAGGCGAAGAAGGCCTTCTGGGGCCTCGGCGCCTCGACCGCGGCCTCGCTGTCCACAATCTGGGCGTCCTCGAAGTCGTACTCGTCGTCGTCGTTTCTGCCCAAAGGACACTTCTTGTCGTCGAGCTTCGCGTGGGTGAGGCCACGCTTGTCCTCTGACGGTTTCGTCCGCTCCTTCATGTCCTGCAGGAACTTCGGGACCACTTGCAGCCGCGACACCGACATGCCCCCGCCGCCATCTTTGCCACCACCTTTCTCTCTTCGGCCACCGCCACCGCCCCCGCCTCCGCCGCCACATTTGCCCTTTCCTTTGTCCTTCCCCTTCTTGCCCTTGCCGCCGCCGCGGGGGCCTTCGTCGTCGGACATGGTGGCCGACCCGCGGGGACCCCGAGCGCAGGGCCAGCACTGGCGGCGGGCGGGCGGGCGCGCGGAGGGAGCCCCGCAGGATGGGAAAGCTTGAGCCAAACTGGCTACGGAAGATCTCTCAAAGATTTAGCGGCCCTCGTTTCTGCAGCCCGTGCGAAACACTAGGGCATCTGGAAAATCCTGGAAATCTTGGAAAACTTGGAAGGTATCGTTATGCGCGGTAAGGCTGCATGGGCCGTGAACGCCCATGCCGAGGCTCTTCGAGCGGGGCGGGCCATCGAAGGGGGTTAAGGATGGACCGGATATGACCGAAGAGGCAAGGATGCAAGGCCCTTGGGGAGTCGATCGTCCTTACTATCAGTGTTGACTAGATTCTCGTGCGAGTGGACCTGCCCCAGGGCGAGCTTCCCCCTGCAAGCGAGAAGGGCCTTTCGATGTTGCCGTCTCGCCTGCACGCATAAGCCTCTGGAACCGAATACTGGTAGATGACATGGGAATGCGGCAACCCCCCGAATGGCGTAGGTCAGGAGAGATGCTTCTCGCGAGTGCATCTCTCATATGCCAGCGGATTTGCCGATGTCCTCGCCTACGAGTATGGACCGCAGGGGCTCTTTTCAGAAATTGGCAAGCCCTGGCGAAAATTCTCAAGGCCAGGGCAATGCAAAAGGAACCCCGCACAGTATACGAAACTCCTGGGGAACTCGGCGAATTTCATCGCAGGGTCTCCGTGACAAAAAAATGCGCGGGCATGATCGGCAGAACCCAAAGGGACATCCCCAAAGAGGAACCAGGCGGTTGTTGCTGCTGAAACAAAAGACAGGTCGACTCTGACTGAACTTGAGGCCGCCCTTCTGATCGCGAGCGCCATCATCAGACCCTCTTCCGCTGAGACCAAACACTCCGCTTAAGAGCACTAGGACTATCTAGGACTGTCTTACCATGGGCAACAGTATGTAGCCTCTTCCTGAATATATATATATATATATGTATACATATATATGTGTATATAAATATTTATTTTTATATATATATATATATTGTACAAGGTATGAACAAGGTTATGACGAATTATATGTCTGGGCAAGCACGTCGAGACTTCTGGAGAATTGCAAGCAACACAGCAAGCACTGTGTAATATAGAACGACGCTTGCCCCTGAAAGTCGAAGTAACGAGTTGAATAAGAAATCGGATGTGCACAGTAAGATACACTACGTTGCTACACCGGTATAATCATGCAAGTCGAAGTGAAAGCACGCATGACAGAAAACCCCAAGTTGTCAGCTTGCAAAGAGTATCGCAGAGCGTTGGTGGGAGGGCCTCTGTGTAGTTGTAGGCGTTGATCGACACCACAAGGTATGGCCTTGGTGGCAGCAAGCTTCGCGAGCCATTTGTGCTTCTTGCCGCTTCCAAACGTGAGCAAGACGCGGCGTCTGAGGTAGCATTCAGATGTTACGCAACCGCCCCCCCCAAAAACAAAAAACAACAACAAATCCGCCGACCTCTTGGGGTGTCTAGGCGCGTGAGATTCCCCCCCCATAATCCCCCCCCAGGGACCCCGAACCGGCAATTCGACCCCCCCCCCCTCGCCCAGCGCGACCCTGGACCAAACGCGCCACGGGGGAGCGGAGGGCTCCAAAACGGGTCAACAAGGCATCAAAACGCTTCCCAGACGGTCCCCGGGGGCCACGATTCGCCGACAAATCGCCCCTAGACGCCCACGATTGCCTCCAGGCGGCCCCCGAAGCTGCCAAGACGCCCCAAAAGGCCCCCGAGATGCGCCCCAAAAGGGTCGCAAGAAACAGAAATCGGTCCATGTCCCTTCGAAAACCATGCATTTTCCGCACGTTCGCCCACTCGGCTGTCACAATGTCCAAAACAGGCAAAGAAGCATGTTTAAAACATCGCCCCCAGACGGCCAAACGGGCCCCAAAGAAGGGCCGAAGAGGGTCCAACAACAGCCTACGAAGCCCCCAAGACAGCCCAAGAGGGCCCCCAGACGGCTCCAAAACGCAGTCCAGACGGCACCTTTTTCGAGCCTTCGGCCCCAAGACGCCCCCAGCCTGCTCCAAGAACACTCCAAAAAGGCCCTGAGGGACCTCCAAGAAAACCTCCGAAGCCTCCAAGAAGCCCCAAGGAAGTCCAAAAGAGGCCCCAAAGCTACCTGCAAGACGATCCCGTCCGGCATCCCACGAGATCCTCTTAACCATCCGTGTGGCCGCATACCTGCAACTCAAGCAAGGGGGCGGGATGCGCCGCGTCCCATTCGAGAACCACTCGTCCGGTTTCTGGACCGACACCTGCCGTCTACGAGCGCGGGTGTTCGCAGGTATTTCTCCATGTCTGCACGGCGAACACTTCGAAAGTCAGCCACGAAAAAACGCACTGACCACGCAGTATCCCTCCACCATCTGACATAGCCCCCGCCTCCAGAGCGCTCCGAAGAGACCCCGCGAAGCACCCCTCAGATTCTGATCCCCCCCCTACCAAGCCGGTTTGGGCCGACAGCCATGACAAATTGCATGGTACAGACACCTGCGCAGGGTCTCGACATCCAGGGCGACGCACACGCTGTCCGAAGTGTCGGACATGTTCCCAAAAGGCCACCAGAGACAGGAGCACACGCCTCCAAACCAAATCGTCCCTCCTCCTTCTCCTCCTCGTCCTCCTCCGATGACCCTCCTCCGCCTCCCCCCCACCCTCACCCGCCTCCTCCTCCTCCTCTTCCGCTTTCTCCTGCTTGGCTTTCCTCATACATCGGCTTCGTCCTCCCCCTCGCTCTCACCCCCGTTGGTCGTACTTCTACGGATCGTGGCACCAGCGCTCGCATGGGCATCATTTGCATGCCTTGCATTTCAGGGTGCCCTTCTTTTCGTCGCGCGCGACATTGCTACTGTCCACGGAAGGAGCCCGCCCACCAAAAGAAACAAGACAACACAAGTACGCCCCAGGACAGCAACACGACATCCCCAAGTCGATCAAGAGGTCGGCGGATGTGGCGTAAGCCTATATAATCCATGTCCGGAGGTGACGTGCTGAGCGGCAGCGTTTTCCGGCGAACGCCTTAATGCAACGTGTCCAATGTATCCAAAGATTGCATAATTGCAGCAGATTGTATTGTGTTACATTATTATGTCTCCCCCCCTAACCCCCCCCAGGGGCTAAGCCACATCCGTAGACCCAAAGTGGCCACCCCCATTTGGGGCTCAAAAACGCACCCAAACCTATGTAAAATCGATGATTCGGGACTTTGGGCCCTCTGGGAGGCCCAGTAGGGCCTCAAGACGGCTCCATATGGCTTCAAGACGGGCGAAGACGGCTCCAAGACGGTCCATGATGGACCCAAAAGGGCCTCAAGAGGGCCCCAAGACGTCCCAAGAGGGCCCCAAAACTTTTAAGACGTCCCAAGAGGGCCCCAAGACGACCCCCAAGAGTGCCTCCAGAAGCCAAAATCATGAATTCTCCTACAAAGTATTTGGATGATTTTAGCGTCCTCGCCTTTCTCGACTCTCAGAAGCCCATGGCCGCCCATGGCCGCCCAGGCAGTCACCAAAATTGTCCACAAAAAAACCAAGAAGCCCCCAAAAGGGCCCCCAAACGGCCCAGGAGAGCCCCAAGACGGCCCAAAGAAGCCCCCAAGGCGGTCAAAAAAAACCCTGGACCCCAAGAGAACCCCAAGGCAGCCGCGAGAGGCCCCCAAAACGGCCTCCGAAGGGGCGGAACGGCGCAAAAGCGCCCCAAGACGGCCCAAGACGCCCCCAAGAGGCCACGAGAGGCCCCCAAGAGGCCCCCAAGGGGCTCAACAAAAAACCCAAGAGGCCTCCAAGAAGTCCCCAAGAAGCCTCCAAGAGGCCTCAAAGAAGCCCCCACAAGGCCACACAACGACTGGAGTGTAATGTTACTTTTCTCCCCCTGGGCGCACTGCGGCGCAGCGCCAGCCAGGTGGAAGTTGGTCACGGCGGCGCCCATGATTAGAGCCGGCGCCGGAAGGGAAGATGGGGAGGGAGTATGAAAAGGAGGGGGGGGAGAGGCCCCAAAGAAGTCTCCAAGAGGCCCAAAGAAGCTCCCAAGAGGCCTCCAGGCCCCAAGGGGCCCCGCGACGACGTGACTGTACGTGCTCCGGACGTGCACCCCGCGAAGCGAGAGGAATCACTTAATGAGCTAATGAAGTACATCCGCGCGTGCGTCTTGAGATTGGAACCACCTCGCATAACATAGATAACCAATCCGACCACGTTCCACATCACATTTGCCAAACGGTGTGGTTGCACTCAAGGGTTCAACATGTGTCGGAAACATTGCTTTGGTTGTCGATGTCCTGATCGCTGCCATCAGGGTCCCGTGCTCGGCTTGCCTTAGTTGTTGCGAGTTCCCAGTCGCCGACATGGAGCCCTCTGGTGGGTACCGTATCTTTGGTTCCAAGTTGCTGGTGCCCCAGAGTCGCCGCCCAGAGCGTCCTGGGTCCCGTTCGCCTCGGTCGTTGCGATTAAACGAGCCGCCGCCCTGGTGACCTGCGGCTGGTGTCCGATGGATGGAGCTCGATGGCTGGTGCCCCAAAGAGCCGCTGCCCAGGGGGTCCAGGGCGCCCGCATCCCGTTCCAACCTCGACTTCGCCACACGCCTCACACGCTTCGTGGCCCCATGGGGAGCTCCACCTGCGGCCCCAGTGGCAGCGCCCCGGGCCTCGCCTGCCTACAGGTTGTTGCCCGTCGGATGCCGCCGGCCGGGTGCACTATGGCGAAGCTCTCTGTGGCTGCGCGGTGCCAGACGTTCGTGTGCCGTGGTGCTCCGCTGTTGCGGGCGCGTTCCGCGGTTGGTGCTCCATGGTTGGTGCCCCGGGGTTGGCTCCCCATGGCTGGCACCGTATGGTTGCACAGCGGGGTTCCTCCCACAGCCTGCGGTCTGGGGGCCCACGCTGGAAACGATCTCTCCCTCTTCAGGGGTAAGCACCCTGCAGGGAAACTCTGGAAGAAGAATCGTAGAACAATTCGAATACCTTGATCTCGTTCGCCGGCATCTGAATGTACGGTATGATTGGGCTGGGTCGCTTTGCTTTTCAACATCTCAAGTAGACGTTCAGATCCGTATTGCAAAAGTTCACCGTGGCCCGAACGGCATCAGATCCCTCGATGCGTCTCACTGTAGATGTCGAAGCACTTGCATCCGTGTGCGATCATGCTCATGCCATTGGGATATGATAGACAACGTCGCGCTGTTCATGCATACTACCTCCAAAAGAGTGTGCGCAACAACAGGTTCGAGCCCTGAATGTATCCATCGCACACTTGCCTGTTTCTGTAACCAGGGAGCCCCACACACAATCGGTGACTCACGATGCAGCAACTTATGCATCGCACCCCGACTGGAGTGCTAGGTAAGATTGTCGGTGAATGTTACTCACGTCGTCACTGAGCCATCCTTCAATTGTTGAAACTCCACCGTTTCCATGCGGAGCGGCTGCTGAAAAGGCCAACTTCGTTGAACAGCTCCGCTACCATGCTCATCATTAGGGGCTCCTTCAACAAACAAACACAATACAAACCCTCAAACGCGTACCAGAAGTGAAGGCGCTTACCGCACAGGGCTGAAGTGCATGTGCCATCCCCAATAGAACTCAACGTCTTGCCCTATTGTGCGAGCATGTTGCCCAAGGAGCGAGAGGTCAACTCTCGCTTTAGATGGAACGACATGTCTCAAACACCTCCTCCTGCCTGCTGCTCCTCTTCCTCCTCGGGCAGCGCCACTTCGTCGCCCCCCCGTGCAACTACACGACACGTGGCACTGCAGGCGCGTCGGATGGAGCGTCCGAACGGCTTGCGCAAGGCGGCGGGGGAGCCACACCTGTCTCAACCACCTGAATGGAGACGGAGGTGGTAGGAAGGATGGCAACAGTCAACACGAGGGCCATCGCTGTTCGAGGGGCATCACGCAGGTGACCGAAACGTCGCAAACGCACGATTGAACTGGGAAGGCGTGTCTGGCGGGCGGATTACTTTGCCTCGAGCAACTTATCTAAACACTACTGATGTCGACTGCCGCGTGGACGCCGGAACCAATACAGAGGGCGACGCTGGCTAACCTACAGAGCCTTCCTGTACTCTTATACACATCGACTGGAGCAACAAGGTCAGGGAACTGGGGAAAGATAGCATATTAGCGGAAGGGACGTCGAGTGGATGGAGTGGAGAGGAGCGGACCTGACTGCAAATAAAAACTCGCGCAAGCGGCTGGAGCCGGATTCTGACAATCCCGTGACGTTGAGTAGAAAACACGCAGCGCGAAAACGACGCTTGCACCACACGGCGCAACGCGCTGGGCAGAGACCTGAGAGGCTCGCGAGGGCTTCGTCAGCGTGCCTCGACGAAGCAGTCGCCGAACTCGAGTCTAGTCAAATCAGTACTGAGCAGTGTCCCTGACTCAGAAGCAGCGACTTAGACCTGGCTGAGCGCCTCTTGCTGCTGCTGGTTGCTTCTGGTTGATGCTGCTGATGACTCTGGTGCTGCTCTTGGGATGTATCGGAGCACTTCTGGAGTCGCGTGGGACAGACTGCAGCCACCTCGGGGCCTCCTTGGGCTGCCTGGGGGCTCTCTTGGGTTTTTGGCCTGCTTTGGGCTTCGCGGAGCCTTCTTGAGCTGTCCTGGGGCTCCTTGTGCGCCCTCAGGGGGTGTGGGCTGCCTTAGCGGCCTCTCGGGCAGTCTCGGACCATCGGGCGGCGGTCTCGTCTGAGGAGGCTTGGGAGTAACGAGATGGAGTAAGAGGAGGAGGCAGAGGAGGAAGAGGAGAAAGGAAGAGGAGGAGGAGGAGGAGGAGGAGGAGGAGGAAAAAAGACGAAACGAAAGGGTGGAATATGAGGCGGCTGTGGAGGCAGAACGACTGGACGCATCAGAACATGCATAAGGCAGACCAACCAGACCAAATCTTGACCGGAACAGACCAGACAGACCAAACGTAATGCAAAGAGGCCAACAATCCCGAAGGCCGCCAGAACACTCGACACCTTCCATACATTATCCCGTCTGGCTGTGTTCACGCGAGGCGTTGTGCATCAAATGGGAAGGTGTGGCAAACAAAGCTGGTGCCCCGAGTAAGCTTCTAGCGACGTGCCAAATACTGAATTCCATGCAGTTACCTGAGCGCGGAGTTCCTCCACTCTGGCAGAAGGTCAAGTAGCGAAGGAGGGTAGGGCGTGGCCTTCAGTTCGGACAGCCTGTCGCCGAGAGCGTGCTGCGAGAAGCTCCTCATGGTCCTTCTCCTCACCTTCGGCTCGACTTGGTCCGCATCACACTCCGAAGCATCACACCACGGAGGCCCGCGAGGGCGCCTGAGCCTTGCCGGTAGCGAGGAAGCTGGCGCCAAAGACTGGCCGCACGACGAGCGTTGCCTGAGAGAGGCTAGCCGGCTGCGAGTGCACCGACACTGCAGCAGACCGGGCGGTCCTGGGTCTGGGATTGGGGCATGCCTGTTCCTGACCGCTGGCCAGGCCAAGAAGAGCCAGATCAATCCGGGCCGCCCAAGATCGGCCTGGCCAGGCCCTCGGTTGGTGCAGTCCTGGCTAGCCGCAACTGGCAACTGAGGGAGTTGTGTTCCTGATCCCCCTGGAGGACCCCCGTATCGCTGTCTGGGACGTGGGTTGGAGTCAAGCGCCAACTCCCAGGCAGCATCGGGACCGAACGAGGGCCCGAGGAGAGGCGAACGAGCGAGGGCCAGGGGAAAGACACAACGGCGTCTGGACAGCGACCGAGCGAAGAACCGAGGCCCGAAACCCGCAGGGACCGCCTGGCAGCGCAGAATACGGCAGGCACGGTCTCTTGGCTCGAGAGACTGGGGGGGGGCCCCTCTGTCGAATCGACGATCTCCGGGGAGGGGTGCCGGAGCCCGTGGGCCCCCGCAGGTGGTCAAAGACCACAGCTCGCCCAGCTGTGGCCGGCCTGCCGCCCGAGCCTCCCCCCCCAACAGAAACAAAGCCTTGCTGCTGTGGGAGGCCAGCTGCAGCGAGTAGGTGCCGAGGGCGAGGCTCCAGGCCAGCAGCTCCTTCCGATCAGCAATCCAAGGACCCCTCCTCCTCCTCCTTCTCCTCCTCCTCCTCCTCTCCTCCTTCTCCCCCTCCTCCTCCTCCTCCTCCTCCTCCTCCTCCTCCTCCTCCTCTGACCCTTTCTGGGGGCGCGGACCTAAGGTAAGAGGCCCAACGACATCAGGGGTAGGGGGTCTGTCCTGCAGGTGCATCAAACCAGAACGCCCAGACCTGCTAGTATCCCTGATGTATCGGGGAGACGTAAGACCCGGGTACGGGGGACTCGGAAATCCCCGACGAGGTCGTCAAAAAAATGACGAGGCCGAGCCTGCATTTTGACGAGGCCTCCCGCTGCAGACATCCCACAAAACTCCTCCTCGTCAAAATCCGAGTCGCGGTCGTCAAAAAACGATGGCGAACCCGAGTCCCGGCAAACCCGGGTCTTACGCTCCCCCGAATGTAAGCAAGGGACCCCGAGTTAGGCCGCGCCCACATTGTGTTATCAGGGTCAGGGGTTCTTTTTCTTCTCTCGTGGACCTTCCGGTCAGCCTCGCGGTGGCGCTCTCCGTGCGGGGCCAGGTCCCAAAACGCCTGGAGGCAATAGGCGGCGCCCGCTCCGCCGGCGACAGGCTCCGGGGCCTCACCCGGAGCCTCCGCCATTGGCGGTCCGAGCCTCTGCGCCTGGACGACCGCCGCGGGCCCCGCCCCGAGGCACAGCCTCGCGCTCGCCAGGCCGAGCAGCCGGAGGCTCACGCGCACGCCGTCGGGCGGGACCTCGGGGAGCTGCCACTGGGCCCACTGGGTCTTCCCGCCGCGCCCGACATCGACATCGCCGCTGCTCCCGTCTGCTGCGGCCCCGCCGCTGCTCCAGTCTGGGCCCCACCGGTAGGTCCGCGTGCAGACCGAGGCCTCCCACCGGCAGACGCGGTGGAAGTGCGGCAGCCCGCCCACCTCTGCGGCCACCCGCCGCACGTGCTCCTCGCCAAACGCCGCCAGGAGCGCTGATGCCCAGTGCACCTCCAGGCGCGAGGACGTCGTGGCCATGCAGAGCAGGCAGCGGAGCGTCGCTTGCCCATCCGCGTCCACGTCCACGTTGCGCCCGGAGCGCCGGCGCCCTGGCTGGCAGAGCCAGCGCGCCACGGCGCACAGGGCACTGCTGCCAACGAGGGGCACACAGTCGTGGACACTGGGCGCAGCCAGGGCTGCCGGAGCGGTCTTCGCGCCCGCTGGCCGCCCGGACGGGCATCGCGGCCGCTTCACCACAGAAGGTGCGTCTGCAGTCATTGGGGAATCGCGGGTCCCAACAAGGCTCGAACTCAACGCTTGAGCGAAAACTGCAACCGAATTCTAAGGGGTTTACTTGATGAGCACGGGCACAGGCAGCACGAGTGCTCCGCACGGGTGACCGAGGTCTCATGCGCCAGCGCCTTCCCCGTCGAACGAAGTGGGAACGTCCAGTGTGGGAGACCTTTGAACTCGCTCACATGGCCAAGCCCGCCAGGAGCATGATACACATGCAGCACGCCTCGGCATGTCCACCCGCCTGGAGACAAGCTCGCAAAGACTGCGGCGCAGGGAAGGCAAGTAAGCCTCAGCGCATAGCATCGCCCCCCCACAGAACCACCGCCACCACAACCACCGTCCTGTCCCGTGGCATCATTCAGCCAGACTGCGTGATTTTCGCTTGGCCTCCCATAACAGGCCTCCAACAATTACGACGCTGCTGTCGATCCAGCGAGAACGCTTAGCGGCGAAAAGGAAGTCTCGAAGACAGGAGTTTCTTGACAAACAACTCGTACTATGGAACAACTATTTTCTGCCGTGGGTAGATCCGCGATGAAGCCTTGATGCATGCCCCTCCCCTACACCTCCTACTGACACCAGAGTACGATTACTGAAAGATGCCTTGGGAACATAGGCGCGAACGTCGCTGGGAGATTGGCAACTCTTTCTGTTACGAAAAGGCCGTCGCGAGCGCGGCGTACATGCTTATACAAAGTGTGTGCCATCATGTTAAAACTCTCCTGTCGTCTGAATGCCAACATCTTTCACCCACGTCACAAAAACAAGCCCTATGCTCTGTCCCTTCCCGCCTCCGCCTCCCTGTCTGCAAGACACGCACGGCATACAGCACCGCCAGCCCTAGGCAGCGGCCAGAGCTGAGAACGGGCAGCACGCTGGCCGCTTCGCGACACGAGCCGCACAGCGCACACTGCCTGGGCACGTGGATGGCGAGAGGAAGAGCCTCTGGCTTAGGGCTCGGGGCCAAGCCTCTACAGCCACGTGGCAGCATCGGAGCCAGAACCCATGGGATCGAAATCTAGAAGACGACATGCCGTTAGCTGGAACTTCGTATTGGCATTCGTGTGACGCCCACGCCGTTCTGCTTCGTAAAATCATACGGTGACCATGGACGCGACGTCCCTGCTCCCAGCCCTCTCTAACAACAGCTGTTCCGCTTCCGCGAGCTAGACCCACATGATGCAATGGATGACCCTTCTCAGGCTCTACACTGTCGCCAAATCAAATTCCGCGAAACAGAAAGATGTGTAGACGCACCGCCGAGGTTTCGCTGCATACGGATGGAAGGCGGGAAGTAATGCACCGAACATTACGCTCGTGATCCAACTATAATCTACGTGCCGAACGAAATGTCCGCATCCGAATGCATTTCAACAATGAAGGTGCCCCCAGCTGGAAGTATGCTCTTCCCCCGTGTTGGCTACAGTTACAATGGCAACCCAAGCGGACGCCCTGCAACACAAAAACTGTGAGTACCGAGGGCTGCCGCAGGTCAAGCACAATAGTATCAAGATGTGTGTGTGTTCCATGCGAGAACTGCATAGTGTTCCCTCTCTATTTCTCCAAGTTTCATGCGAGGTACGGGCAGCAGAAGGAATTCTTACTCTGATCTGCTCCTTTCTCAGTGTGCCCCTCCCACCTACCCCCGCGGGACCGGAAGTGCCCAGGTTGCCCATGCGGGCTCCGCATGCGGGAATCGAATGCGGGTGCGTGGTTGACAGGCAGCGCATGCGGGTTGCTTGTATGCAGGCTTGATTGTGTGCGTGCCTGCGTGCTTGCGCGCTTGCTTGCTAGCTGAGATACCCTGCTACGTGGCACCACATCCATTTGGGGCAAACGCTGGTGGGGATGTACTCTCTCGCCTTCCAGAAATCCACAGAGCTCTCTGTTCGAGGTTGTTAGCATGTATGTTCGGAGGCCGTGGTAGACATCAGCACTTTCGACAGTGATGCGAGAGAGCTTGTCGATGGCGGCCCGAAGTTCCCCCTTCAGGAGCACATCACCGCCATCTGATGATTTTCAGTTTCGCGGATACGATCACGAAGCCATGAACGTCTCGCACGGTGCCTCAACAGATCCAAACATGCAGGAGCGCAGTCCTGGCCAAGTGGAACGTCATCTCAAATCGGCTAGGGCAACGGCCAATCCGTATCCAGGTCTTCTGCGAGGTATTCGTAGTATGGACCCTCGCGGCAAGAGACCAGCAGCGAGCACGAGACGAACGGAAGGCACAAAGCCAACTTGCGGTGAGACAGGGGCGATAGACAAAGGCAAACGGGACGCGCTGCACGATGAGCAGAAGTACGAAGCCGAGGGGCATCCCTTGATGGGCCGACTTCCCACCACCACTACCATAGGTAGGAGAGGTAGAAGGAGGAGGAGGAGGAGGAGGAGGAGGAGGAGGAGGAGGAGGAGGAGGATGGGGATCGGAAATCGGCCCATCATCCCTCGAGCGGATTCCGCGAAGGGGGCCTGCATCTCCGCAAAGCCCAGGACGGCCTGCCTGGAGCCCACGGGCGGCGCCCACTCCTGCGACGCGAGGCGGAAGCGCTCTCCAAGGCGGGCAAAGCGGTGTGGCGGGGGCGGCGAGCGCGCGAGGGCGAGCGCGAGACAGGCCGGCGGCGAGGGCGCGGCGTGCTCGCTGTGCTGCTGTCCCGTGCGTCTGCTGACCGCCACCGCACCTCCGACCGCATCTTGAATTGGCCGTCGCGGGCCAAAAGTCGGAGGAGGAGGATTGGCGGCGAGCGAGGGGGGGAAATGATAAGGAGAAGGCCTTCCCAGAAGACGGCGGGACTTCTCCGAAGCCCTCGCGCTTTCTGAGAAGTGTTCTGCGTCTTCGGGGAAGGCTTCGAACACTTCTCAGAAGACCGGGGGACGTCCGAGCCTTCTGAGAAGGCCCGCCCCTTCTCACTACCCCCCCCCTCGCTTGCCGCCGAGAGGAGGAGGAGGGGGAGGGGGAGGAGGAGGAGGAGGAGGAGGAGGAGGAGGAGGAGGAGGAGGAGGAGGAGGAGGCGGAGGAGGAGCGACTGTGGCTCGGGTGAGTTCGTTAGGCGGCTCGGGCCCGGAGAGAGTAGCCGGCCAGGGTCGCCTTTGCGCATCACAGGGGTCCTCCCTTTCCGCGGGCCAGGAATGAGAACGCTGGGAGGTCCAGCGCGCTCCTGTCTGCCAGGATTTCAGATACGGAAATCAGCGGAGTCGTGGCCCACTGGGGCCGAGGAGAAGGATAGGGGGAGGGGGAGAAGGGAGGGAGGAGGCAGGAGGTGCATTTCGGATAAAAGTCTCCTAGTGCGCGTCGCTCTGGCTGCGCGCTCCGTGTCGCCCCAAGCATTAGGCGTGGCGTTCCGACGTAAGTGGCGCGCAACATGGAGCACCAACACGAGCAGCGAGCAACGCCCGATAATCATATGAAGGTATAAGCTGGTGGCACCCACTGGCAAAGTGCTGCCAGTGCTGCCAACTCTTGTGCTCGTGTTCAGCATATGCAAAGAAAAAGGATAATACATGATAAGAAAGAGAAGGAGTAGGAGAAGCGGTACAACGCGAAATAGAAAGAGATGAGGGAGGAAAATCCGTGAGCTGAGATGAGTTGAGTAAGCAACCACATGTGAACGCTGACCCCACTGGTCCAACTCGTGAACGCGTGGGCCGATTCTGGCAGCCTCTCACGGGTCTCCGCTGCCGAGGAAGGCGATGAGGGATACGCTAATGGCCTGCAGCAAGAAGGCGCACGCGATGAGCTTGAGAGACCTGGTGCCAGGGACCTCCCGACAGGATCCCCGCGTCATGAGCCTGGCGACCACCGACAGGATCCCCGCGCCATGGCGATGGGGAACACAGCGTCGATCGTGCAGCAGCTGGGAAAGCCAAAACTACTTCACCCCAAGCGGGAGCCATGGACTGCAGCCGCTGATGGGAGCGAGCCACAGAATTGTGCACCGACCACTCCTGCGGATCGGCAAAGATGGCGTAGACCTTGTAGTGGGTCCCAGAAACGGCAAGGCCCTCTTTTTCACCGCTTCCGAAAAAGAATGTCTCTTGAGAATGGAAACGGCAAAAAACGGTGACCAGAAACGGCAAAAAAAAGCTCTGTGATTGGAACCAGAACCAGAGCCGGAAAAAACGGCGACGGAACCGGCACCGAATCGGCGACGAAAACACTAAAAAACGGCCCTGTCGTTTCCAGGGCCCACTAAGGCGTAGACGAGGTAGGCGGCCCTGGACGCGACTCACCGAAAGAGGTGTCGGTCAACACGCGGGGCGCCTCGGAGGCAACGGTCCTGCTCCTCTGGCGGCCGCCGCTTGTATCGTTGGCCACGCTGTCGTACTTATGTGCCTTCGCCAATCGCAGTCCTGGTCCCGCGCCTTCGCGACGATCTCGGGCTATTTCGGCTCATCTGTCCTGCCATGAGTGGCATCCACTGCTGAGAGCACGATGGCGAAGGGTGCGAGGATCAGCAGGCAGCCAGCGTCGCACACAGCCATGCATCCAGCCATCTTGGGCCTGCCAGCCAGCCCGACGCGCCCGATCCAGCAGGTCAGGACCTGGTTCTTGAAGTGGCAAAGTGATAAGCCGATGCCATGTCCTGGCAGTTTCACGCGTGGGAGCGCCGGATAGGTAGACAGACCACAACACACGCCGCCGAGGACGATGAACACGTCGTCGCCCATGTGGAAATCGTCGGCGATTGAGACATCAACCAGGGACACCGAGAACGGATATGTCATTGAACATGCAACACTGGAGAAGGGTGCCTCCGTGAAACTCGTTGTCCTTGGCAAGAACATTCTGGAATCAAAAGCAGACAACCGCAACACCTGCGTAACCGCTTAGCCAAACCTCGGGGTGTAAGACCGCCGTGTTTGGTGCTGCCGAGGAATACACAGAGTGATACGCAGGCGGCCCCAAGGGAGCCCAGGAGTCGATGCAAAGCTTGAGCCAACATTGCGACGGCGAGCACAAGGGGGGCACGAGGAGGAGGAGGAGGAGGAGGAGGAGGAGGACATGTCCCACCAACTCTCCCCCCTCCTCATTTATGTCGACCCTGGAATGAGGCATAAAATTTGGGCAACTGTTCACCCTCCCCTCTGGAAACGTTGGAAGGCGTAATGAAAGCTTCTGGAATCACACGAATGTCTGCTTGAAACCGCCCGAGAAACACACACAAGCCTCCCTCCTCTTCCCCTCACCTCCCTCCCCTCCCTCCTCTCCTCCCTTTGTCTTTATCCCGGACGGGGTGTGCTGTGTGGAAACTGGGCGCCTGCTCTTCTCCTGTTAGCGGAAGACGCGGGCTCGAGTTGCCGCGGATGGGAGGCGCCGCCACCAGCTGGCAGAAAGTATTGGGTCGCAAGAGGATCTGAAGGAGGGAGGATCTGAAGGAGGATCTGAAGTTGTGCCCTCGACACTCGAGGATCCACGAGGCAGGTTCCTGGACGTTCTCGGACGGAGTTTGAGCGTCGATGTTTGGCCTCTGAGGGCGTCTGGAGCGCAGCTTCCAGGGGTCAGAATCTGGGGCGGAAACAGAACGTACCAGGGGAGTGGGGCCACCTTGCTGCTACTCATTCTCCTGCTCTTCCTCCTCCTCCTCCTCCTCCTCGTGCTCCTGCTCCTGCTCCTGCTCCTTTTCCTCCTCCTCCTCCTCCTGCTCCTCCTCCTATTATTTCCACTCCTCCCCCGATCTCCTCCATCGAAGACTCTCCGCAAGCAGTTCAAAGTTGCCGGATATGTTTTGAGCCCAACTCTGAGCCGTGTCCTGAGCCGTCGCAGGGCGCATCTGAGATATCGAGGCGGCGGCGTGGTCAGATGTCGAGTGGCGCTTCCGAAACGAGGTACCTCGTGACGGGGCTGGGCATTTTCCTGCGGGGGGCATTGTGGCATCGTTGTGCAGCTCTTCTCGGCGACGAAACGGGGCAACTTGCCACTGCTGCGAGGGGGTTGACATGTTCGCCTGTGCATTGGCCATTGTACTCCTTCCCGCACTCACAGCGCAGATTCTTCGTGACACATGTAAACAAGTCTTTCGATCGATCCGTTGGGCAAGGCGCCCGTGAGGCTCATGTGTTGCAAGCTTCACGCGGCCTTCAGTTGGGAGTATGTGTGTGAACACATACCCCTGTAAGGAACATGCGCCAACGACACTGTTCTTTCACGTGTGCAGTTGACATCTCCACGAATGGTCAGGTCAGCCGCCCAGGAGGTGCTGCAGCATCGCGTGGAAGAAGAGATCTGGACGGCCTCTCGGGCCTGCCGCCCTTTATGCCAGATTATCAGCGCTGTTAAGGGTGAATGAGCGCGGCCGTAAGCGGCTCAAAACAGTGTCGGCGGAAACCAGAGGGGGAAGTAAGAAAGGGCGGGCCTTCACAGAAGGCTCGGATGTCCCCCGGTCTTCTGAGAAGGTTTCTAAGCCTTACCCGAAGACACAGAAAACTCCTCGGAAGGTCGGAGCGCCTCTGAGAAGCCCAGCCGCCTTCTGAGAAGGCCTTCTCCTTCTCACTTCCTCCCCTCGCTCGCCGCCGATGGTGAAGGTCCGTGCAGATTTCTTGGCACTGCGCTGGACCCCCACTCCCTGGCGCGCGGAGCGCGCCAGAGGCGGCGCCGGAGGCGCCGCCAGGGGGGCCCAGCGCCGATCCAAGAAATCCGCGCGGACCGTAGAAAATTGATGTCCATGCTGTTTCCTCTTCTTCGTCATCTTCGTCGCCACGTCACATGATCCAATGGGGTCTTCGTCGTGCACGTCACATTCTCCATCTGCGGGCGCCGCTCCATCTTGTGCTCTTGGCGTGCCGAACGGGGCCTCAATCCTTCAGGCTGGGGGTCGGACGGAACTTTTCCGATCATGGCAGCGTCACGCAGCGATCTCTAGGTCGCCCTCCTCTATTGTTTGGCTCTGGGCAGACATGAATCGTCAGAATGTGGCGTTCCGCATGCGAGAAAAAAAACATCTCTCCGACTTATTTTAAAATGACAACAATTTATGTCTCCCTCCCCCTCCTGCTCCTGCTCTTCTTCTTCTTCTTCTTCTTCTTCTTCTTCTTCCTCTTCCGCCTCCTCCTCCTCCTCCTCCTCCTCCTCCGCCCCCCGTCGGAGAACGAGGAGGGAGCAGAAGGGATAATGGCCTTAGCAGGTGAGGCCTGTCCAGACTTGTGCTCGACACTCGAGGGAGAAAGAACACGCATACGACGAAGGAGAGAGCAACATGTTGGCCTTTAATTGGTCAGCGCTCCCCCCAGACGCACATCGAAAATGCCGACTGTCAGCCTAGACCACCTGCTCTCCAAAGCCCACTTGCTCTTCCCCAGTTTCGCCGTGACGCCCAGGCTCCGATGAATTCAAGTACTCCGTCGCCATCGGAAAGTCGACCGCCTCGTTGTGAAACAGCGCCCAGGAAGCCTCCTCGCTGGCTCCCGACTGCCGCTCGGGCTGTGCGAGTCTTGGCCGCTGGCAGCAGGGAGATGTGACAGTGCAACGAGGTCAGAATTCGCTAAGAGGCCGGGGCCAACAGATGGAGCAGAGCTACCACCCCCAGAAAGATACAAGCGAACCTTGATACTTACCACGGCGATTCTCACATCCCGCCCCTCGCCTGCTGGAACGCACGCGCCGGCTGACCGCAAGATTCACGCAGGCAGCGACAGATATGTTGAGCTTGCCAGCCCCACGGGCCAGAGGTGCATGATAGTCTGCTGAGGTCCTTCGTGGGTGCACGAAAACAGCGCGCGCGCGAGGGTGCCCGGGGTGCCCCAGGCTAGAAAGTGCCTGGGCGTGAGGTGTCTGAGCATCGTTTCATCGACCCCTCTCAGGGATAGGGGTGGGGATAGGGTCGGGGATAGGGGATGAGGGCGGAGATAGGAGTCGGTTAAACGATACTGAGTGTCCCATGTCTTGCGCCCTGGCCCGCACAACATAAGGGCATTGAAGCATTCAACAGCATTACCTGCAGACGGCCCCCTTATGAGCCTACCCCCACAGCCCGAGGGCGACCATGGAAGCAAACGTATGTTCAGTGCGTGTTGTTTGTCATTCTTCTCGCCTCCAGATAGCTCCGAGACGTCCCATGGTGGTCAGATGGCGGCTCCAAGTCCCGACCAAACCGGAACAGAGACCGCACAAGATGGGCACGGAAGGCTCCCTGGCTGGCTCCAAACGCTCCAGACGGGTCCACGACTGGCCAAGAAAGCCCCACAAAGAGCCCAAGGCGCATATAAGAGGGCCCAAGCTGAATCCAAATTGTCACAAGACTTGTCCTTTGGGCCCTCCTTTAGGCCCTCCCCAGGGAAACGCGAGAGACAAATGCGATGGGTCCCTGGGGACGCGGCTGTAGACCACGCTGATCAGGATTTTCCGGCGACGCTACGTTTCGCACGGATAGGTTTGCTGTCCGACGGGAACGCTACGACTCCTCAAGGTGCTGTAAGTATCCGAAGGCACAGCTCGCCAAATCTCATCGACTGGTAGTCCTGCCTCAGAGCAAGAGTTCGCTCAGTCCGCCTGCGAGTTTCCCTCTCCCCCAAGCCGCAGCGCATCGCTGTGCATACCACAAGAACGCGAAATGGGGATAGCACACTGCCATCGTTGAATCTGGAATCGATGGTCCAGGAACCCTGGGTGTGGTGAAATGCGGATCATGAAACCTTTGATCAACCATCTGAAAGCAAGTTCCGAACTTGGCACGGCGGCATCTGACAAGACATCTACACAAGCCTGAACGAAATCAAGACAAGGGAGAGTAGTCAGATCACAAATGTCTTCGGGCCGATCGACTGTCACAGCACGATTGTCTCGCTCAACCGCCATTCAAATACACAATGGCAAGTCAAGGTGCGTATTTCTCATTGCGGCGGCTTGCGGCTGCCTGAGTTTGCCAGCAATCCTGCCCACTTCTGGGATCCTTCCTTTGACAGGCAAATGGTCAGGTGGTGACCTGCATCGCAGTGTGGCTACAGAGCTGCAAGAAGCGTCCTTGGCATTGTTGAAATACACCGTCGGGTAGGGGTCAGAGCACTGGAAGGTGTCGGAGAGTGAAGCACCCCAGAATGAAGGTACCCAATGCTTGAACCTGCGGGGGGAATCTTCCCTCTCCAGGCCAAGGCTGAACCGGGTCGAGAAATTGAAGCCGATCGCGCCTCCCTCCTGGTCGGACTCGGAATTGGAATCGGAACTGCACCCGGCCCAAGCCGGGATCGAAGCCAGAAGTGCACGGTACACGCACAAGAGAAGGATCACTCTCAGATCGGTGGGGATCTCGCGCGCATATGCTCACCTGCGACAGCGGGCCGGCAGGACGCCGCCCGTCAGGAGCAAGAGTTGCAATCGTGAGACACGGAAGCTGAGCAGCACCAACCGTGCGCGCGCGCGTGCAGAGGTGGGCAGAGAACAGAGGGAGGACATAAAGCATCAGGGGCACGGGGCAACGGGTCCTTGACCCAGGGGCGTTTCCCCAAGACAAGCTCGTCGTCCAGAGTCGCGTGGGCTGAGAGCCTCGGAGCCCGTGGAGGATCCAGGGAAGCCAAAACAGGCGAAGAACCTCAGGACCTGCTTCCCTCAGGACCCCCTTCCCTGCATGGCGAACACAGAGGTATGCCCAGCGACGCCAATGGCGACCACTGGGCCAAAAGCCGAACCACGGAAACGGGCGACGGTGAGCGCGCCATCACGGAACGCCGTGCACGCATGCAGCGGGTTTCCGTGAGGCGGCGCTCTTGGCTGACATGGCATGTGTGGCTGACGCTGGTGCGAAAGGGCGTCAGGAGAGCCACGGCAGCGCGAAAGGGCTGGCGCAAGGCGGGTGTGGAGAGGCTCCAGCAACATGCCGGGCCGACGATCTCCGCCTCCCTGCAAAGGGGGGGGGGCATAGCTTGGCAGCGGAGAGAGGCCAGGTGGCCCCAGCATCGGTGCGAGAAGTACAGTAGGAGCTCGACCACAAGAAACCTTCCACAAGAAACCCAACCCTGAGACCCCAGGACGTCCATTGATTTTTGGTGTGGGAACGTCACGCTTACAATAGCAAAACAATCGAACCCCAAGAAACCCAAGGCACCCTGGAGGCAAGCAGTGTGGCATACGTTTCCTCTGTAGAGTCTGGTCGGCCCGAACGTCGCATCGGCAGGCATCGGCAGAGAATCGGCCGCGGCATCGAATCGGAAGTCCCCGTCCCCTACCCCCGGGTCTGGACAGGGGGGCCGCGAAGGGTTCGCGCGTGCAAGAAGGAATCAGCGAGGAGGTCAAGACCCTTGATTTGTTACACGTGTGCGGCCAATATGTTCGCCTCCTGAGGGGGCAGTGCTCATCCGCGCCGCCTCCAATTTTTACGCACTGGCCTCCAAAATGGCCGCAAGACGTTCCGCTCCAAGGTGGCCGCAAGACGTCCCGAAAAGCCTCCAAGAGCCTCGAATGGACTGGCGGGGATACGCAGAGCGTTGAGAATACGTGTGTTCACACTCACGCGTGTTGTCCACCGAGACTCTCTGGTAAGAGAAGCGCAGTATGTTGAGGGCCGCCAAGGGCTCCGACGTAATCGGGCAGGCTTTCTCGTGAAAGCCTGCACTGGCCGTCCACTCCGCGCCCTCACGTTCTGGACTCTGGGGCACGATCCCGAGGATACGCGGTCGCACGGACACGCTCCGCGCGGGGCATCCGCGAACAAGTGCCCCGGGGTCCCGCCCCGGAGCCCGACCCGCGAGGGCGCGGATACGCATCCGTTGTTTCGCCCACGATGCGCCCCGGCGGGCGGAGCGAAAGAGCCAGTCGTCGAGGTCCGAGGGGAACGCGTCGCTGACCCAGGAGTCGATGCTCACGGGCAGGAGCCGCGTGGGCACGGCCTTGACGGGCTCGGCGCTCGGGTCCCTGGCGACGGCGGCGCCTGCCGAGAGGGGGGAAGGGAATGCGGCTGGGCGCCGATCGAGCCGGCCAGCCCTGGTAGCGAGAGAACGCGAGCGGCATCCTACCTGCAACAGAATTCCAGAGGGGTGAAGGCAGAAAGGGCTTTCCCCACCCCCAGCGCCGTTGATCCCCTCTATAGCTGAAATCTCACTTCCTGGAGCGCGATGCCATCACATCCCCAACCTCGCTTGAACCTAGGAAGCTTCGGGCATACCTGTTAGACCACCTTGCAGCCGACTAGGAGATTGGAGGTTGGGGTGGAAGGCTGGGGTGCACATCAGCTCCACATGCCCTCCAGCGCGTCGGTTTTCGTATTGTAACGTGCGATGTATCTACGATAACTTGAAGCAATGTAAGCTTTACTTCGTTCGTGGTAGGCTACGAGCATCACATGTCCTGTGACGGTTCTTGCTGCAGTAGTCTACTAACTGCTTAGGTCCCTCCCACATGTTTTCAACATAGCTCTTCACTCACAGTTATCGTGCATGTGCAACCAGAACAACATAGAAACTTCCTCGGGGCATCATCAGGGCACAACGACGTCGCGGCACTACGCCACCAGTACATCACCACCACGCTACCACACCACACCACACCCCGACAGCAGGTGCCCACAGCACGCCTGAAAAGAAAAGAAACACATGTGTTGTTCCCGCCGTCCCCCCTGAGGTTCTGGGGAATTCGCGCACAGCTTCGCACGTCCGCCACGCACGCCACCATCACGAACAACGAGATGTCGGTGGGAGGCGGCTTCAAGTATACTCACACACGCACCCAAGCTCCCATCCAGAGAACAGCCTGTCACGGCCGATAGTCCTACGAACGTTCAAAGAGCCGCCTGGACCCCTGCATCCATATCTTCTCACTTCTTGTCCTGCATCGCACCGCATTCGATTTGAGATGGGTTGGGCGACTACGATCAACCGCATCATCGGCATCGCCCTTGACCATCATCTTCCTTGCCCCATCCACAAGGTACGACCTCTGGTACCCCCACCCAGCCCGAACACAGCGCTAATTTGGCGTGGCACCTCCTCCCTCGGAATCCGAAATGTTGCTCGCGTTCTCGGAAGCGGGCGCCGATTCCGACGTGCCGTTGAGCACGGCGGCGGCTGCGGTGTCCTCGGTGCCCGGGGTGAGGTCGCCAAATTCAGGAAGTGCGCTGACATTCTCCCGTGAGCCGTTCAGGAGCAGCACCTCAGCCTGAAGGGGGGAATGAGGAATATACAAGGATAGTGATACAATAGGAAGGACGACATGGATATATACAGCAGAGAGACAGAGGTATAACAAAAAGAGAAAGAGAAAGAGAGAGAGAGGGACAAAGAGAAAAACATGCGCACCACTTCGGCCGCGGCGGGGTCGGCCGTGGAGCTGCGCTGCTCCTGCGCGCCGATGGCGTCGAGCCACCTCGGGAGGGGGGGTGGACAGCCTGCCACGGTCTGCGTTTGCAGTGTGTGGGACGCAGGAGGACATACTAGCAGCATGTGTCCTCTTCGGAGGCGTGCGTTCGACCCGAGCATATAGCAGCAGTTCGTTTCCCGAGCGGCACGGCCAAAAAGCGCCCGCCACGGAGTTTATGCTATAAGGTTTCTCGGCGCGCGCGCGTCGCCCCTGGGGGGACGACGCACACATAGTATCAATAATCTTGTTCTTTTGGGGGGGCGAGGGGTCTCCAGAGGCCAGGAGTCGGCCAGACGCACGATGACGAATGTGCCGCCTCCCCCAGCGGCACGGCACCAGCCAGTCGCCGGCATTTGGGGTAGCCACTGCGCTATATAAGTCGCAGCGGCACCCAAGCTGAAACAAAGTCAATCAGGCCCTTGATTCCACACCGCCTACACAGAGCTGTGTTTGCGGCACAAGGAACGTAGCCTTCCTTCAAAGATCAGTCGAGGCTCGATTCTGGCGCCAAGCCGCCGGGCGTTACGCAGAAAAAAACGCATTGCACAGCGTATGATATCGGATGTCTGCTTCAGGACTGAGCCGAGACGTCAACAAAAAAAGATCTGAGAACCAGTCACTTCCATGCGGTGGCAATTCAGTCCGAACCCAAGGCTCAAGCACTTCCCGCATCTTGCGGCATACCGAATAATGTCGTAGACAGTCGTAGGCCCCAGCTTCTCTGCACCCAAACAAGCAACGCTTCGCCGCAGACCTGAAGCGAGAAGAGGTACAAAGGCCTTTGCAAGCCAGCCGCACCTGAGTCACCGCAAGGTAGGGGTTCGTCTTTTTTACCAACCTGTTGCAAGCCCATCCGTATTAGGGATAGCATCCAACGAGACCTCAGGGAGCCACTTATCAGTATGAGCCCTGAGGATCTGGAGAACACCACGGCCAGGACGCAGACACATGCGAGTGAGATATGAGTACAGCTTACGCTGGATATATTTACGCGGGACCATCGGCGGCAACGAGAGGAGCACCAGCAGCATTGAACCATGAGCCTCCCCCATTTGAAAGGCAATGCTGTGCCTCCACCAGCCTCGCAGCGCGCGGGCAATGCAGCATTCATCAGAGCGAAGAAAAGACCGCACAACGCCGAGCTCCTTCTTAGAGACAGGACAGTGAGCGGAACACCGCGCACGAACAGCAACACTAACATGCGGGAAATGCTTGAGTCCTGTCCCCCTCCCACAAATGCGCAAAGACTCCAACAACTCACGTGGTATGGCATTCCACGGTCCGTTAGTCAACAGTTGAGCCCAATAATGCCTTCGATGGAGGATAGAACTGCAGCATATATTGCAGGAGCGACAAGCAAAGAACACGTGGAATGCGCGGAGCGCCAACGACAGACCAAGACCAGCACGTTTGACATCCAGAGCACGGTCCGCAAGCTTCGGGATAGCCTCGTTCCAGGCGTGCCGTGGCCCCGCAGGCCCAATCATCAGTCACCCCGAGATACTTCGCCGCTCTCGCAACCACACGCTGACTAAACCTCGGCCCCAACGTCGCAACCAAGTTACGGATCACGTCAACAGGAGCGTCGGCCAATCAACCAAACACCTCCAACATCGGGCCCAACCCCGAAACCGTTTTTTGTTGACAAAAAGTCGCCACGGTCAGCCCAGATACGGCCCATGTACCGACTCCCACGGTGTAGAAGCCACCGCAACGCAGGGTCGGTGGCGAGCGCAAAGAGGCACATGCTATACGAACCGCCCTGCCTCACCCCCCTCCCGACATCAATGCCAATGTCCGCGACCATCCCACCCATCGCAATCACCCCGGTGCTAGTAGCGCACAGGGCAGCACAAAAAAACAACAATTGGCCCTCGGACACCCATGGTGGCAAGCGCTTGCAAGATCCAAATAATGTTAATCGATGGGAACGCCGCTGCAAAATCCGGTAAGTAGCCGCAAACAGCGCGGCGCACCGCCTAGATGCAGCTGGACCCCCCGCCGATCGGCAATCACGCTATTGGATGAAACCTGTCTCCTTTTGACCCACCCCTCTGATTATGATTCGCAGCGTGCACAGACAACGCAGCAAGCGGCGAACCAAGCGCAAGAGACGCGATCTTGGCATCAGAGTCGCACAGCGCAAGCGGACGCGCGGCGCCCGCAGAACGAGCGACTCCTTGGCTCGAGCCGCCCGGGCCCGAGCCCTCCGGCAGAAAGAAGAGAAGCATGTCCCGCAGATTAGCAGGTAGCGCGGCGCTGTCATTCCCGTAAAGCTCCTCCTAAACCGAACACAGCAGTTCAATCCCTCCGTCCACCTGCTAGGCAACATGCGGCAATCCATCCTTCCCGGGGGCAGCGCTCCTCCTCCACCGAATCCGCTCGACAAATCCTTCGAAGCTGAGACGCCATCCTGGCTGGAGCTCGCGCGAGAGATCATTCGCCCGCCGACAGCGCCGCACTATTTCTGGCCGCAACTCCCTGCCCACAGCCTGGGCGCGAAAGACGCTGCCCCAATGATCTGCCAATGCACGATTGGCCCGCCCCGCGCCCCCACAGACCTCACCCCCCGCACCCCATGCTCCAATTAGCAAGACACGCCGTCGAAGTTGGCGCCAGAACATGCGCATGCGCTGGAGTCGTTTCCGCGCGCGTTCGCGAGTCTCCTCCTCCTCCGCGCCGGCCTCGTCGTTCTGCCCGAACTCCTCCTCCTGCTGCTCAACGCGCTGAATCTGCAATGCACTGGCGCGCGAGCGAAGCGCCCTTAAGTCGAGGCCCCGCATTCCCCCCCATGTCAAAAAAACGCCCCAGCTCCACGTAAACAGACAGGGCACGAGCGCGGGATTGAAACCGCTGCAAACGCACTCCCCCGATCGCCATCATCGCCCAATCATGCTGCTCAACAAGGCCTGCCGCAGGCCTGCAACGAGTCCGCTCACGGGCCCCAGGAATCGCGTCCAAGATATGGTTTTTGGATTGGCCCAGCTGCAACGTCGGCGGTAATTCCCCTGGGAAATCCCTCGGGATCCGCAGCGCCGCCCCCAGATACTCTGGGGTCCGGCACAGCCAAACAGGGATGCAGCGAGTCCGCCTCGGGTCAAACTTAGCAGCGGCGAAGGAGAGCGGGCGGCGGTCGGGCGGGCCACCCTGCATCGCGCCGCGAACAGACGCCGAAACCGATAGGGCAGCAATAATGGCAAATGGATGATGGCGATAGGGCTTGCGCTGAGAGGACTCAAGCCAACTGTCACAAACCCGATGAGAAGACCTCATGATGCGACCGAACTCCCCCCGCCCAGTTCTGCCCATCCTCCGCCGTCCTCCCCGCGCCCCAAGGCATAGTTCCAATCCCACAAGATGAGGCTGAGCGACTGCGCCCCGCCAGGCACACAAGCAACCGTTCGCCGCAAGGAACGCTCGCTAATCGGGGGCCCTTGATTAGCGCTCAGCATGCACTAACTCACAATGATCATCGCACCCGCCCTTCCCACAAGTCTCGCGACAAGAATCCTCCCACCCGCAATATAATCTCATGCGCGACGCGCGCAAACTGGCGCCGCAGGTTGTCGCTAATGACTGCGACGACACCTCCTGCAGCAGCGCTCGCAAGAAAGCTGGCCCAAATCGCAGCGCGCTTGAAGCACGCCCCCCCCCCCCCCCCCCCCCCCCCCGTCTGCAACGCCCCTCGTAGCATGCGACGCCCGATGTAGCACTAAGCCCCAACGCACATGCATACCTATTCCCACAAAAGTGAGCTACCTCCACGAATCCTCCCAAAGAGACCGCTCGCGTTCCAAGTGCATGCCGTCGCAGCGAAGGGAAGGCAGCACGGGGCGCCTCCATCCCCAGGACAAGCCCCTGGAGCCCCAATCGGATCTGCCGTGGGAAGACGCCGAAGCCCAACATCAGCGATCACAACAGGTCGAGATGACGCGGTTGCCCCCGGGGTGGGGGAAGCAAGGGCGGCGCAGCAGCAGAAGGCGCCGTCGCGTCAGCAACAACTCCGCCAGCCGAGTGGCCAGGCATCCGCGCGGTAGCAAGCGCAGGCGTAAAAAAGACTTGGCGCTGCAACGTAGGCGCCTCGCCCGCTCGCCCGCGTCTCCGCGCAGGCGCCCGTTCGCCGCCTCTGCCGCTGCGACAGTCTCGTCAACGCTGTCCGCGTTGCAAGGGGGCGAATCAAAAGAGAGCCCCCAGCACTGCTTGCGCCGCCGCTGGAGGAGCCATGGGCCCCAGAGCTCACGAAGGCGGTCTCAATCAGAGTGTGCTCCACACTGTCGCCGTCAAGCTTCAACTACACACGCGCGACGGGGCTCTCAGGGTTGAGAAGCGCTCAGGGGCCCCAGGAATCGCGTCCAAGATATGGTTTTTGGATTGGCCCAGCTGCAACGCCGGCGGTAATTCCCCTGGGAGATCCCTCGGGATCCGCAGCGCCGCCCCTGATGCTCTGGGGTCCGGCACAGCCAAACAGGGATGCAGCGAGTCCGCCCCGGGCCAAACTTAGCAGCGGCGAAGGAGAGCGGGCGGCGGTCGGGCGGGCCACCCTGCATCGCGCCGCGAACAGACGCCGAAACCGATAGGGCAGCAATAATGGCAAATGGATGATGGCGATAGGGCTCGCACTGAGAGGACTCAAGCCAACTGTCACAAACCCGATGAGAAGAACTCCTGATGCGACCGAAATCCCCCCGCCCAGTTCTGCCCGTCCTCCGCCGCCCCCCCCGCGCCCCACGGCATAGTTCCAATCCCACAAGATGAGGCTGAGCGACTGCACACCGCCTGGCACACAAGCAACCATTCGCCGCAAGGAACGCTCGCTAATCGGGAGCCCTAGATTAGCGCTCGGCATGTAATAACTCACAATGATCATCGCACCCGCCCTTCCCACAAGTCTCGCGACAAGAATCCTCCCACCCGCAATATAATCTCATGCGCGACGCGCGCAAACAGGCGCCGCAGGCGGTCGCTAATGACTGCGACGACACCTCCTGCAGCAGTGCTCGCAAGAA